CCCCCCCCCCCCCCCCCCCCCCCCCCCCCCCCCCCCCCCCCCCCCCCCCCCCCCCCCCCCCCCCCCCCCCCCCCCCCCCCCCTTAACGCTTTTCTGTTTTGAAGCTATTTGAGCACAAGTGAGTGTGCAGCTGGTGCCAATCTGCGAACTGCTACTTGTAACATGACCACAAGTAATTGTACATGTGATTATGGGGATTATCAAAAAGGCATCGGATGTGGTGAGTGTTCTCTTTTCTACTGATGGAAAGCAGAGTTTTTATGCGAGAGAGAGAGCTTAAGTGATCGCTGAGAAAATGTGTTGGTTTTCTCTGGTGTCGAAGAGCTAATTATCGCGAAGCTTTGTTTTTGGTGCGGCTGGCTATCAGTTCATAGATCAAATCATCAAGAAAGAGTGATAGCGAGTAGTTACTTGACGTACGCTGGGTTATCAGCATGCTCGCACTTGGTTAAGTCTCAATATACCATACTGTTCTGAAAACATGTTCAGCTTTATATAACTACAACATATAGGACATTTTGACCGTTTTACGTTGTTGTATGAAATTAGTTATACTTAATGTAATTGAGAAGTATACTGTATCCGTAGATAGCTGTAGATACCGAATTTCCAATACGGAAATTATTTCCCGAATAGTAATTCGAGAATTCGAATCTACTTCTAGAATACGGAAATTTCCTGTATAAGGAATATATGGACTCCCGAATAAACGAATTTTCGAATTCCCGACGCTTAAATGAACTCTGGATACAGTATATACCCAGTATTCACTGCGTATATACGTTCAAGAAAGAATACAGGTCACGTACTTATTCATGTAACGTATATAAACAAACACATTTTTAGTATACACAGATATAGCTCTGCGTGTATATCTACGCATATCACTACACCACTATTTATATATGTGTGGATATATCAATGCTTATCAGCACTCTCACATTCATTTTATTTACCGAGAGGGCGTTAAGTGCTGAGCCAATGTATAAAAAACTATTTCGAACTGTATTTGAATAAGTGACAATTTTTTTATTTTTACTTGAATAAATAAATACACTGAAAGTATAGTTGTTTATTTTGAAAAGTCTATTTTTCAGAAAAGAACAAATGATTGCATGTGCTGATTATTGTCATGAAACGGTTTTAGTAGCAAAACCCAAAAAAAACGTTAAGTAATTTCCAATGAGAGGTTTTACTGTGTGTTAAGGAGATGAAAATTACTACCATTTTGACAACTAGTGCATACAACCCATTTCTCTTTTCACTCATAAAAAGAAGATAGCTGACCAATTGCTCTAAAGAGCATCAGCAACCGAGAGATAATGGCCTTCCTTCCGCCAAGTCGAAGATCACTTATCACAGAAAGATTTCTTATTTTTCCTGTCATACACAGTGTAATTATAAAAATGAAAAACAGGTGAAAATAAGATGTCAAGTAAAGCTGAAAGAAGAAGTATGGAAACCAATTCTTTAAAACTTTTACCAGCTCACTATCCTCAGTCGATCGACGTAACATTCATTGAGAACAGAAGAAGACATCTGGAAAGGGTATACCTTGTAAGGACACGAATTTAAGTTTCTTTAATAAATAACGTGTTATCACGTTTCGTCTTTTGTTTTACAAAAAATGCTTTCTTTTACGAAGAAACATTTCCGACTGATACCTTCCATCCGACCTCATATTTTGCTGATTGACAGGCTCCATGGTGTAGATAAAATCCTAAAACTCTGGAATTTATTCTGTTTCGTTTGGATGGTTTTAGAAAGTCAATTCACGTAACGCCGAAAGGTCAAACAAAATGATACTTGTTTAAAACAATTATTCTTGTTAATTTTTCCAATCAATTCTGTTTGATATGAGGCAGTACGTTTCATGTGCTTGGTTATTGTCGTTAATATTTATGGATCTTAACACAAAACATTGTTAGTTGACAAATTGATTTGATTGTTGTTATCAAGATTGATACCCCGACATTACCGCGATCACAGATCTGCCACTACTCTTCCACAAATTTTTGAATATAGATTTTAAAAAAACCAAAGTTTAGAAAACTAAGAAACAATTTGCGTGACTGATGAATCTAGTCGTTATTACAATTTTAATATAGCTTCACCTTGCACTAATTTCATATCAGATAAGCACTTGAAAAGTTCAAGAAAATTCATATGATATTATCAAAATAGATTTTGTTTGAAACTACTTTACGAACGAACTCTCATACTGCCCACCCTCTATTTTCCGCCATACATTGCCAAAAAGTTGGGGTCATGTTCGCGAAAATGTCGTGTCACGATAGAGTTTAGATACAGAGAGTGGATAACAAGAATATAAAAAAAGATAATTCATATAATTCTCTGATAAGGTAATATCTCTACACCTAATCTTTATGGAAATCAATTTGTTAAGTAATAATGTTTTGTATTAAGAACTAGAAATTTTAACGAGAATAATCAAGCACATAATTCTTTCAACCGCGGCTCCATGAATCAAGAAGTGGGAAGAACATCGGTCTGTCTCGTTACTGATTAGAGAGAAAAAAACACAGCGATCATGTCTTTTTATTATTTTAGTTGATGTAATACGTTGATAATGTCTCAATGCTTCTGATATTAATAAAACATTGTCTAAAACAAAACAGACATAAAACGAAAATAGTTTGCTTATACATTCTAGACAAATAAAGAAACGTGAAATCATATAGTCTCATACGTCTTCAGACATACACTTCAGTGTCTATTGTAAAGATGATTCCGTTTTAAACTCGACGAATAAGTATTCCAAATTTATTTTTAAATTTGTCAAAATGGACAAATTAATATCAAGAGGCCGGGAAGCTTTTTCTGAAATCTTATTGTTTCAGATTTTATGATATACTTTCATAATAAGTACAATCGAACGTCATTAAATAAAGAATTAAACTCAGCAATAATAAACAAATTACAAAACATAAACATCTGTGTACCAACTTCAAAATATTTGATTTTAATTTAATTATACAGTTTTTTCAATAAAATGAAAATGACTTGCTTTACTAAGTTTATTTTTAAAGTTTTTGTCTGTTCGTAAAGACGATATATTTTTAATTAATCTAGATAATCAAAATGAAAATGATGATTATACACTTGTACAAGAATCATAGTCAGATGAAGGACCCGTAGCTTCAACTAGTTCATTTCAATCTCAAACTTACATACACGATGATTCACTTTGTAACGGTGTGACTTTGTGAATGCCTTTTATTTAACTTTTTTGTCACTTTCACTGTACCTTTTAACATCACGGATAGAAAATAAAATTCATTGAATCATTGAGACTTAATTCCTTGCTGGTGATGTAGATTTCATGCATCTACCATTTGAATAGAACAACAAGTCGGAAGATAAATGAATATCTAAAGTTTTCGGCTGAAACTTCGTTTAACTTTATCCGCTTAGAAGCACTGGACTTCGTTGTTTAGAACTTTTAGTAAGACGATTATCATAAAACTTGAACAATTTGCCTTTGTCAAAAATGTCAAAAGAGAATGTATCACAATTTTACTAGTAACAAGTGCACTCAAGATGCGAATTTACTTTACTTGTAATATTATTAGTATACCCATGTAACACATATGTAAAGGTTATATAAGTATGCAAAAAAAAGAACAAAAAGAAAATAAATCTTTTCAGATGCTTGAAGTTAGAAATGTAATCTTTTTCGTTATCAGCATATACACGAATGTGGATGTTAATAAATAAATTATTTTCATTTTAGCACTGTGTTATTCAATAGAAGAATAGTATGTTTCCGTCATGTCTCTTTTTTCTACTTATTAGTAGTGTTTTAGTAACAAAATGCTATAGTTGGTGTGACGAGTTTGTTTGTTATTCTACAACTTTATCAACAGCTGGTATCGTCGGAATAGTTATCGGAAGTCTTGTCGGTCTGTCGTTGTTTATTACTTGTATTGTGTGTATCTGTCGTAGCATTGCTCGAAGTCGTGCTCAACAACCAGCAGTAATGGTACAATATCCTGTAGGTAGTGGCGGTATCGTTTATCCAAATCAACCATCATGGCAGCAGGGTTATCCAAACCCACCACCACAGCATCAGGGTTATCCAAATCAACCACCACAACATCAGGGTTATCCTTATCCCAATCATCCACCACAACATCAGGGTTATCCCAATCATCCACCACAACATCAGGGTTATCCCAATCCTCCACCTAATCAAAATTATGTTATGTGAAAAAATGTACTCGATGTCTCGTGGTCTAAATTGTGAGCTAAAATATCATATTGATCCATCTTGTTGATGACGAATCTACTTTTTTTGATAAAGCTGTGAGCTTTTTTTATTAATGATAATCAATAAATGTTTAAAATGTGAATCGAGAGAAAGATGCGGTCATCTCGCTCTATCGTTTTAAAGTACATGAATGCTACCATCGCCGTCCAAAAGTAGTGGTTCATGACTTTTTTTGAATAATTCGAGAACGAAAAGCAATAAAGGCGTACGGTTTTCGCCATTCAACAGCGAGAGATTTTGCCATAAATTCATGTGAAAAATACTTTTGAGAGAAATTTTAGAAGTTGGTTCTCTATGAGGTCTCTGGAGAATCTTTCGGTATTCAGGTTATTTTAAATAGGAATGTGATGATTTATTTTCGTGGGTAGGTAGTTTAAAGTGCTCTCTACAAATGGAAACGTTATTTGAATTTCAAGATTTGTTCTCTAGAAGATATATTCGTGCTGATATGATCACTAGTTAAAAAAATGACGAAATGTTTTACTTGCTCATCGTGAAAATTTTCACGTTTACACTGAGTGAGCAGAACATTTCATATCACCACCGATTGAATTTTAGGAGCCCGCCCCACCCCCTCAGAAATGGTGATTTTCGGATAACAAAACAGTTTTGAGATATACACATGTAAAGATAGCCTGAAGTGTCTACTCTCAGAATCTGTATCGCTTTTGGTTACAAAAATGGTTTTTCGCGGATTTAAACGAGCAACTTGGAGCCTCGAAAAACCGGATCTTCAAATAATAGTTTTTTCCTGGTTACATAGGCAATTAAAATTTTCCTAAACATACAGATTTGTAGACCAAAGTTTTCTGATCAAAATAAGACCTCGTACAACTCTGTGTGACCTTGCATGAAAAAGCTATAGGCATTTTCCTAGAAGTTCTAAAACTGAATATTTCATACAGCATTTAATACAGGGCTTTCACTATATAAGAGTTACACCTGAAGTATTTCCCAAGATTGTTTTAGCGGTTTCTGTCAAATTGAAGATTTTTCGAAAACTCGGGGGCCCTTAAAGTCGATAGTATTGACTAGTTTCCATAATTTATCGTTTTATATCTGCTCGTTGGTTAAACGTCTAAAAATTTTTCTGTCAATCCGGCAGAACAAGAAATAAAAATTTATGCGCAGTTTCGTAGAGAAAACTCATTTCTGTTAAATCACGTGTCTTTCGTAGGTTTATGATACAGTTTTATAAAGATTCTCGATAAGACTAAAAGGTGGTCAGAATGAGAGCACTTTAATACAGTTTCATACTTAGTTTTTCTTGGAACACGCCCAGTGCCATGAAGAGGCCCATTGTATATCACTCGATTGAGCTCAGGTTTTTTTTGGAAAGGAGAAATCACACTATAAAAAATGTTTTTATCAATATTGATAAGGCTAGAGTGCGCATCAATATCAGACTTTTGTAGCGTTTGGCATCTTTTTACTCGTAATGTTTTTTCCTTTCCTTTTCTTGTTTTAACTTACATTCATTAGCTATATGTGTCGAGAATCTGATGAGGTTTAAAACTTTCATAAAATCCTCCAGCTCAAAACTTATGATTACTTGTGAAAAAGATTTTGTATAGATTCGCGAACCTGAAACTGTATGAAAGTATAGGCAAGCTTAAGCAGCAATTTCCCTAACACAAAAGCACTTATCGTGCAAGATTTTAGAACGGTTAGCTATGTTCAAGACAAAATGAATACTGAGAGCTATTCTTAGATTGTATTTCCTGTAGATTAGTAATAAGAGTTATGTTTTTCTGTTTTATTGAACAAAAAACGAAGAAAACATTTTGTCCTCGCATTAAACTGGAAATTGCTTAACGTTGAATTTGTTTATTCAACAAGGATATGGAATACAACATCAAAATAAGAAGAAAAAAAAACACTTATAAAGTCAGTCTATTACACTTATATTTTCGGTTCCAGTTTCTTAAGTTTTTCGTCGATTATCTTCCTTGCACTTTTTGGGTTTTTTTCGTTCTTTTGTTCGCCAAATTTCTCTTTAGTTTTCTTCCCTGCATTGTCAAAATCTTCGCCAATTTGTTCAGCTGGTCCTTTTCTGAACATTCTGCCCAATATCACCAACAACAAGATAATAGCGATTATTATTAACACATAAAATTTAATATCGTGGTTTTTCTTGTGCGAAGAATGAGGCTGCATTATGCCAGTTATTTTCTGTACTTTACCAAAATCTTATAAAGACAAACACTAGTCTTTTCTACTGGTGTACATGTGTTAAAGTTTGAAATATTTGTAACTGATTTAAGAAAGAAGTAAAAGAAATGATTACTTTAAAAAGAAAAAAGTGCTTTTACTTCTTTCTGTGCGTTGAAAAATTGTATTAGAAGCATGCTTCAGCTGTGTGACACATATATTTCTTTTTTTCTGTGCATGGACACGAAGAGTTTCTATGGACAATGAAAGGTTAAAAGTTCATTGCAATTTGAATTGATGTACACACAAAATGAAATATGTTTTTTTTGCCAGGTAAAGCTGAAATAGTGACTCGTGTCATCCTATTCGATTTCAATTCTTTTCTGCTTCTCTGTTTCCTGCGGTAAAATATACCTCGTCCTTTGTGGTAGCTCTCTTACTAGCATTTTTGAAATATTCGAGACGGTCATGATAAATCTTTTCCCATTCTCACTTCGAACTAAAGACTCTACCACTGGTCGTTGATGAACAAAGAAAAACGCTGTTCATCTTGAAACTGTATTTCAGACAACTCCGAGTTGCGTGAACCTAATCCTTTGGATGGCAACTGTCTTGCTAGAAGAGAAGCTACATGAAGTACTAATGTCTGCTGGAGTAGAAAATCACCGATTTCACAAAGAAACCGCAAGTGTTATACATCGTTCGATAGATCTTGCAATTATCAGTAGAACCATACTTACTCCAGAGTTGGAACCGGTCTAAAAATAAGAGGCCGGGCCGAGCCGGCCGGTTCAAAACAGCAGACCGGACCGGACCGACCGGTGACCGGCCGGCCCAAAAATCTTTTTAGACCGGTGAAAAACGGCAAAAAGACCGGCCAGTTTTCAACAAATTTCGAGAACGGTGAAAAACCGGCAAAAAACTGGGCGGTTTAGACGCTTTTATCAGTAAATCAAAATATTTTTAATGAAAAAATCAAATTATTTTATTTGATATTTAAGACAAAT